CCCAGGGGGACAGCTTGAGGCTCTGTCTCAAAAAAAGAAAGAAAGAAAGTCCGGGAAAGTGAGACAACCATTTTAAGCTAGCCTCAGGCTACTCCTCTTGGAAGATCTAAAAGAACAATACATTATCTGATTTCTATTGTTAAAGTTAAAGGTTAGGATAAACAGAGGAGTGAAACCTTTCTCTTCTATATATACTCAATTAAATTTCCGAGAAACTGGCTTCATGACTGTTTTTTTATGGTTTTGAAGACCCTGCAGTTACGATGGAGTATTTTACTCACGTCATTACGATGGAGTTTTTCTTTTTACTCACATCAACCTTTGAGTCATGTCCTCTGCACAGATGGGCCATTTCAACCCTTATCTGACAGGCTGACTTGACTGCACAGTCGGGGTTACCTGTAGGAGGTTTTTACGCCTGGCCTGCAGGCCCACACTTTGTTTTCCCAGGTCGCTTAGGGCTTCGACAAAAGCACATAATACTCACAAATCTTTTCACTCAGTTCTGGAATTAAAAGAGCACATTTCATTTAATTTTTATGGGGGTTTACCCCACAGTCCAAATGGTCCCAGCCTGGTTAATCATCAATGCCTGCAGCAGACTGCTCACCTCCATTCCACATGTCTGCTTTTTTAGTAGGGAAAAGACTGAGTGACCCCCCAACTCTTCTCATGTTGAACCTAGAGGGGCCAGATCAGGGCCTTTATTTTATTTATTTATTTGAGACAGAGTGTTTCGCTATATCGCCCTCAGAAGAGTGCTGTAGCGTCACAGCTCACAGCAACCTCAAACTCTTGGGCTTAAGTGACTCTCTTGTCTCAGCCTCCCAAGTAGCTGGGACTACAGGTGCCTGCCACAGCGCCCAGCTATTTTTGTTGTTGTTGTTGTCGTCATTATTGCTTAGTAGGACCTGGCAGGGTTCAGGTTCAAACCTGCCAGCCCAGGTGCATGTGGCCGGCGTGCTAACCACTGAACTACAGGCGCTAAGCCAGATCAGGGCCTTTAAAGGCCGCTCGTTTCTCAGGAGACAATCCGTAAACTAACACCGTGTAAGAGGGGGTCCCTTCCCTCACCCTGCCCCCTTCTCTGTCTTGAAGCTGTGCCTTCGTAGAGCAGGAACATAGGGCCCCTTTTCAGGGTCACTTCCAAGGACCTATCCCAACTAGAACAGCGCCAAGGTCAGCTGGGCCAAGGGAGACAGGACCTGTAGCCCACTCACCCCCCACCCGGGCTACTCGCCCCGCCTCAGGCTGAGGCCAAGGCAGCTGCAGCCCCCTCCTCACACCTAAACCTTGAGCCGGTCTTAGGCAGGGATGACACCTCCGTGTGGGCGGGGCCTTGCGGGGCGTGCCCAGGTGGGGCGGGGCCTGGCTCAGGCGAAACCCGCGGGGCCGCCCGGGGCTGGTCAGCCAGAGCCCAGGAGTGCAGGAGCCTTTCGCCCGCTGGCCGCACCTGTCTCATGGCTGGGTCTCCGCGCCGCGCTGCGGGTCGGCGACTGCAGTTGCCTCTGCTGTGCCTCCTCTTCCAAGGCGTCACCGCCATTCTCTTTGCGATCTTTGTCCGCTACAACCACGAAACCGACGCTGCCCTCTGGCACCAGGGCAATCACAGCAACGCGGACAATGAATTTTACTTTCGGTACCCAAGTGAGTGCGGGTGAGGGCGTGCGGGAAGTGCAGACCTCCAGCTCTCTGGTGTCCAGGAAGGGACCGTGGGTGCCCGGGTCTGTCTGGGTCTAGTGGGCTCTCTGAGATGAAAGGGTCCCGGGTTAAAAACCCCTTACACTAGAGCCTGTCATATTCCAAGTTTAGGGCCGAGGGTGGCACCTACATTTTGTCCTTTAGTCTATGAGATAGACAAAGGAAGAAACTGAAGCTCAGGGAGTTAAAGTGGCTGATTCAGCAAGTGAGGGAGCTGGGATTCAAACCCAGATCTGAAGCACCAGCTTTAACTACTCCCTGGTCGCACCACCCAGTTTGCTGGTCTGTGGCAGAGATTTGGCCTTTCCTAAGAGGCTCTGCCCTGACTACAGGTGGAGATTGTCCTAAAGGTGGTAACAGCAGGTGTTGGGTATAAAGCCCTCACACCTATAGGCAGCCAAGACTGGGCAGTCCAGAAGGTTTTCCTCAGTCCTGCAAAGCTGGCTCTTCCAGAGTCACAAAATGATGCAACTACCTACCAGGTAACCAGGGAGCAGCAGCCCCTAGACCCAACAGAAAGCATGACAGGGTCATTAGCCTATTTCACAGAGGAGGAAGCTGAGTCTCAGATGGGTCGTAACTTGTTCATGATCACCTGTCCTTGAGTGGCAGAGCTGGAGTTAGGACTCAGGCACCTTAAGCTTCTTGCTTCACTAGTCACCGTCAAGTTTCAAGAGGGATTGGTTAATCTCCCCCTCCTTCCCTCCCACCCCCACTTCCACCATGGGGAGAAAGTCTCTTCTTCAAGGTCTGCCCCCGCCCCAGCATTGTAACTTAGGCCCTAGGGAGCTGGAAGCAAGAACACTTCACCTCCCAGAATTCACAAATATTTCTGAGCATTAGTTTTCTCTGAGCAATGGAAAAAAGGATGCCTCAATGTGAAGGATATACATTTAAACAAGGCCTAAAGCATTAGTCTCCTGTAAGGTTAAAAAATATATATCCCAGGCTCGGCGCCTGTGGCTCAAGTGGCTAAGGTGCCAGCCACATACACCTAAGGTGGCAGGTTCGAACCCAGCCTGGGCCCGCCAAACAAC